CGCATTCCTGTACAGCGACTCCCAACTCCCTATCTGTTTTCAAGGAAAGAAAAACAGAAAAAGAATGTTAGAGTCTTGGACAGGCGTGGGCAAGGCGGCAGTAGCAGCCTGGGTCCAGGAGGGTTCTGCCATGTGGCCATAACGACTTCCTAGAGAGGAGGGGACAGAAGTGGCCTGGGTAGAGTGTCCTAGTGGAAGGCGCATGGCGCTCAGAGGCAGAAGAGCTGGATTTGGGTTCTGGCCTCTGCCTGGGAGTAGCTTCGAAGCCTTGAATCGGGGTGTAACATTCCTGAGCCTCTATATTTCTATCAGGGAATGTGGCAGAGTTTTAGGATTCAAATATTTTAAGCAGTAAAACTTTTTTTTTTTTTGCGGTCCACGGGCCTCTCACTGCCGTGGCCTCTCCCGTTGCGGAGCACAGGCTCCGGACGCGCAGGCTCAGCGGCCATGGCTCACGGGCCCAGCCGCTCCGCGGCATGTGGGATCTTCCCGGACCGGGGCACGAACCCGCGTCCCCTGCATCGGCAGGCGGACTCTCAACCACTGCGCCACCAGGGAAGCCCAAGCAATAAAACTTTTAAGCCGAGATTTTTAAAACAGTTTTTATTTTCAACCTAAATAAAACATGGACCATTAGTATATAAAACAGATCAAACTGGAGTTGATCTGGTTGAAGGTTAGTATAGGTATGGAGGAGACAGACTTCAGCACCCACCATATCTGCCATTTCTTCTTATCCCCAGAGTTCTAAATATTCTAATTCTCAAGCCACTGTTAGAATTTATTACATGTGTGAGACCTGTTGAACGCCTTCTGTCTCTCCTGGGCGTTCTATCTTTCTCAGAGATTTCAAGTTTAAGAAGATGACAGGGTGGAGCTGTGTACCATGTACATACAGTGCCCGGCACATAGTGAGTGCCCAGTAAATAAAGCTCACATTCGTGTTGAATAAAGTTGCTCACAAATTGAGGAGCACAGGCTCCTGGGGCAGCTTTGGAAGCTCTTCAGTTCTCAGTGATTTTATCTCAATGCGCTGGCTGATATGAATTACCTCACAGGCCATAGGAGTTAAGAGACCAAGTTTTGTTCCAGGTCTACCTCCCACTTTGTGTATGGCCACAGACATGCCACTTTCTTTATCTGGGCTTTGGTTTTATCACCTGGAAAAGGAGCCATTCGGATAAAAATAACCTCTGAGGGTCCTTATATCTCCTCTGTTATGATGACACAATAATAACAAAAACAATAATGATAGCTGATATGTTTTTTGAGCTCTTACTGTATACCAGACATTGTACTAATAATTACAAATAGTTATTATTTGTAAATATACATTAGACAGCATTATTATACCCATTTAACATACGATAAAATAGATGTAGAGAGTCAAGGAACCTGTCCAAAGCAAGCTGTAAGTGGGGATGTACCAGGATTTAATTCTAGGCAGCGTAAATGCAGGGCCCAACCTCTTAACCACTACACTTTATTATTGTTCATTCAATTATAATGCTTCCAGGCGTGGAACATGGTGTACTGTGGAACCACAGTACATGTGTTGAATCACACTTGTTCACCTTTGTACATGGAGAAGCCCCCAGGCCTTTCTTAGTTCCGCTTCCACTAGGAAAGGAAGGACAGTGAGGGTCGCTGCATTCACCTGTCCCCTTCTAGCGTGCATTTAAACCTTCTGGAATAGAGTGCCATAACAAGCAATCTTAGAATTCACTTTATGGGTCCGTATTTAACAACCCTTCCCGTTGTCGGATTACACGGTGTAGAAGGCCTTTTATTGTTTCATTTCCCAAGCCCATAGAGCTAAGAGAGTGGCATGAATTCAATCTCAAACTGAAAAGAATTGAGAAAGTTCCCTTTCTAACACTCGTTTTTTTTTTTTTTTTTTTAAACATTCTCTAGGAGGCAGCATAACATAAAAGAAAAGGTATGGCTTTGGAATTAGGATGATATGGGTTCAAATCTCAGCTCTGTCTCTTCCTAAATTTGTGAGCTTAACTTCAGCTTTATAACAGAGATACTAACATTTAACTCATTAAGCTTGAATGTTGTGAGGATTAAATGGGAAAAACAAAAGTTGGCACTAAAATATCAGTTTCCTTCATATTAACTCTTTTCATTTGAAGGTTATTATGTATATATAGTCCCAAACAGAATTGGACACTAAATATCCTTATAATGTGCTTGATATGACTATTTATATACTCCACATTATCCAGTTTCTTCACTTGAACTAAACCTATAAACCTTAGAACTGTGTGCCAGTCTTACTGACCAGACGTATTTATGGGGCTTTTATCCATGGTCTAAATTATTCTGAAATGCATGGAAATATCTGGAAAACTACGTCCATTTGAAAATGAATGTCAGCCATCTTTTGGCTTGAAGACAGTTAATTAATACAGGCCACAGGCATACTGAATTCCCTCACGAAGGGCCAACTCTTTCGATGGCTATCTGGAAACAAACTGAGAAGCAGACAGACATGTATCCAAGCTCAGAGAAAACAAATGCAAGCAGCCAGACATGGAATCGTGAAAAACCAAGAGAAACAAAGCCCTCACTCCATCCAGTGAATAGTCCCATGTTTTTTCTCCTTTATTTTTCACCCCATACATTATTCTGCTTTGACACCTATTGGAAGACATTGTTGGTTTATGATTTTACTATGGAAGAGGCTTGACATAAGAGACCTATAGAAGAAATAGGGATGCCAAAATTTGAGATCAAAGAAGCGATAAATTTACCTCTTCGTTTTTTAATAGCAAAACCTCTGGCTCTAGACCGACTTTCTTCCTGGACTCAGCCTTTCTTTCTAGATTCCAGACCCATAAAGGAGTCATTGACCCCTTGCTACAGAAAGGAAAACTGAGACTTGAGAAGTTAAGGGACTTGTGATAAATGGTAGAACTCAAATTCAGTCCCAAGTCTGCCTGGCAATAGCAGCTGAACTTGTATGTCACTGACATTAGCCTGATTCAGACACTTGTTCTGGCATCTACCTATCGAATCTGTGAACTGTCTTTGTAAAAAGCAGAAAACAAAAAACACTACTTATCAGATCTGCTTTGTTGGACCACAGGGACAAATACGTTTTAGAACTGTCGTCCGTCTGAATCCCAGGGCCATCTAGACAGTTCAGTCAGACACGTGTCACGTGGTTCACTTGTGAGTGAAGGATGAAATTCTTCTTTACAAGACCAAAAGGAAATGATCTGTAAATTCTGTCCCCTCAATTCCCTGGTAGAGAAGCACCGTGTCTTCTCAGACCCTCGGCCAACATTATTGTTTCATGATGGTACCATCACGTTGGATTGTCCTTAATCCCAAGTAGAGAGAAGATAGTTAACAGATGTCCTCCTCTTGTTTATTACCGAGAATCTAAGCGAGGAGAGACTACAAGGCCCTCCATATCAGGCATGAAGCAGAACAAGAAATCAACAGTTGGGAGGCCTCATACCATTTCATATCGTGTGGTATACAATACCTCACGTGCCTCTAAAATCATCCTGTTTTAGAACTGGAAAGGAACTTAGAGGCCATTTAGTCTGGCTCATTTACTTTATTTTTAAGTAATTTTTATTGATTTTTTTTTTTCTTGTTACAAAAGCAATACATGTTCCTTGTAGATAATTTTAAAACGAGAGATAAGCACAAATAAGAGAGAAAAAATACCCATTATCTAACTTTCCAGACAAAGCCACTGTTATTCATTTGCTATGTTTTATTCCTTCTTTTTCTAGATAGATATATGTGTAAAATGTCCACCAAAAATTATTCTGTAATAGTGTAACCTATCTTTTTAAACTTACTATGCCATGAATATCCTTTCAAATAACTTCATATTTTTCCACAGTATTATTGTAATGGCTGTAAAATATTCCATTGCGTCATTGAACGATAATTGATATTATTACTGTTTTGATATCATTGAACATTTAGTTGTTTTAAAATTCTTGCTAGTTTAAATCGTACCACAGTGTTTATCCTCATAACTTAATCTTTGTGCACATCTATGTTATTTTATTTTTTCGGAAATCCTAACAGTGACTCTAGCACCTTCACTCTACAGAGGAGAAAACTAGAGTACAGAGATGGGAATTTAGTTCTCCAAAGCTATACAGCAGATTCTTCACAAAGCTAAGACTAGATCCCAAGATCCCAGATGTTCAGTTATTCTTTCTAGTCTTCATCTCGTCTTCTTTATTAGCCCTATTTCTAGTAAACTTCAGCAGCCTCCTAAAATCCAATGGCTAGACTGACTTTTAGAAATCATGGGGTTCGGGGCACTTTCTCTTCTATTGTCCCTTCCTATCTCATGACCTTCATCACTAATCAGTCATGGAACTCTTTCC